AAAAATCAATGGTTGTATTTACAAGCATTATTTGATCGTTATTTAATACAAGTTTCTATCCTCCATTACATACAACTGTATCTGTTCAACCAAATACTTCAATAGTACAAAATAGTTTTCTAAATGGTGGGGTTTCAAAAGCTGATTTACCTTATCGAAGTTTAGCACAATTTGGTGTTCTTTCAAAGTAAAATCAATTATATCGAAAAAAAACCATACATATTTAAAATATTTTAGAATTCAAACACAAATGTTTGATACAACTGATCCACATTCATTTATGAGTTCATTAACACCCATACAAGGTTTACCAGGTGCTGCACAATTAGATATGAATGTATCATGTTTATTTATGCATGAAGTAAAACTATTTTTTGATATCTAATTTAATTCATAATTGATTAATTTATTTCTCATTTAGTTACGACATAAATATAAACATGGTGAATATGAAGATTTAGAACATATAAGTGAAAATCAAAATGATGAATCGAAATGCTAAAGAATGACAACTATTCTTCGTTTTCTTCCTTTTTTTTTCTTTTTTGTCTTGTGTGATAGTGTTTTCTTTTTCGATTTTGTATATCATATGTAAATAGAACAAAAACCAAGCATAATGCTTTGTTCATCATATCTTCCTTACCTTATATCGATAATTAATATGTATAAGATTGATTTTCATACTTATGTCATTATGTATAGTTTCTTTTTCTCCTTTTTTTTGGTTCTTCGAGAAGAAAAAATTCACTTATATCGAGTTTGATTTTCTATTATATATATATAGATATTTTTTTCTCTCTCTCTCTCTTTTTTCGTATTTTGAAAAATAGATATACGAATACGAAATGAAATTATTGAATAATTTTCTCATGAATAAGTTTATCAAGTTGTTCATTTGTATAATGAAGTTCAGTCTGAAGAATAGATCGAGTATGTTCACCAAGTAATGGTGCAGCATGACGAAGCATAGAAGATTTTTCGATATTTTCAAAATTTACTGATGGACCTAAATTAATAATTTAAGAAAGAGTATTTTTCAAACTTATGAATAATTAGAAAAGTATTTTGTAATTACCAACAACACGAATAGATTTTGTTCGATTTGGATTTTTCATTTCAAGAACTTGTTTTTGAAAAGTGACCTGCGTTATTTACAAATAATCATTTTTTGTTGTTATTTTCAAAATGAACTAACTTGTTCATTTTCAAAAACACCTTTCATATCATTGATAGGACCATATGGAACTTTATTTGACTTTTGAAAAAGTTCAAGCCATTCGGTTAATGATTTTTCCATAAATCTAAATTATTCTCGAATAATTAATTTCGATAAATAAAACAATCTTTTACTTTTTTGATAAAATAGAAATCAATTGCATTCGATTTGTTACACGAAGTTTATTACTTTTAAATAGATCATTCGTTACAAGTTCTGGTAAATTAATAATCTACATATAGAGAAGAAAATTATACTAATTATTTTTAAAAAAATAAGTCAACATACTTTGCAAAGTTCTTTAAAAAATTGATCATTTGCAGCTGCTACAACTATTCGTTCGCCATCTTGACAGGTAAATGCTTGATAAGGAACAATAGATGCATGAGCTGTACCATGACGTTGAGCTTCCCAACCAGCATTTAAATAATTAGCACCAATATGTGAAAGAAGAGAAAGCTTAACAAAGACAAAACATATTCTTTTTAGTATACAAATGTCTTCATATATATATATTTCTACTTGAGTTTCAAGTAATGAACATTCTATTTTTGTTCCTTTTCCAATTTTTTCACGTTGATATAAAGCAGCTGTAATAGCTCCAACACTTGATAAACCAGTAGCTAAATCAATAACAGCAACACCAACTTTAACAGGTTCCTACGCACTTTTTATTTATATATTGACAACATAATACAATTATTTGAAAAAAATAAATCATACCGAACTTCCTGTAATACTCATCATTCCACCTAATGCTTGAATAACTAAATCATAACCTGGTCTGTTTGAATATGGTCCATGACTTCCATATCCTTATATATATATATATAATATTTAACTATTAATAAAAATATAACTTTTTTTTTTTTTTCAAAAAACCTGTTATTGAACAATAAATAAGCCTATCATTAATCGATCGAAGATCTTGATATTCCAAACCAAATTTTTTTAATTGTCCAGGTAAATAATTTTCAATTAAAACATCGCTTTTCTTAGCAAGCTATTATAATCATTATAGTTAATTTATTTTTTTAAACTATAGTTAAATATGAATACTTCACGAATTATTGTTTGACCTTGTTGACGACTCATATCGATAGCAATACTTCGTTTATTTCGATTAATACTTAAGAAATATGCACTTTGATCTTCAACATAAGGCGGTCCCCATGTTCGTGTATCATCACCTTGTCCTTTAAAGTGTACATTTAACACGTATAATGAATAGAACAAATCAAAGATATTTTTTCTTTAATTACCTGGTTTTTCAACTTTAATTACATCTGCTCCATAATCAGCTAATACCATGCTAGCAAAAGGTCCTTAATAAATCATACGATTAATCATTAAAATAAAATATAACAATTCTACAGATTCCTTACCGGCTAAAACACGTGTTAAATCTAGAATTTTAACTCCATGTAAGGGTAGCCTATTGATCGCTGTCATAATTACAAGTTTTTTATACAAATACTTGATTATATTCGAATATGTTATCTGTCTTTTACTCTAATGGTGCACAGAATAGAGCAATCGTCTTCTTCTTTCATAATAAGAAAATGTGTGTCAGCCATTATCGGTCGTACTTCTTCGGAATAATAATATACTATAAATACTTTAAATGAGTATTAATTGAAATATGAATAACTAAATAAAATATGATTTTATTCTAATAGTTAAGTTTCGTAACTTTAATCAATATCTGATTAAAAGTAATGAATCAATCTATAACTCATCTTGACTTCACCATAATATCAAAGCTAATCGATATTTTTAATATGAAATATTTAAATTGAAAATTTGCATGTCAATTAATGAACTTCGGATGTATACTATATACCGTGAAAACCATAGAATTTTTATCTTTTTATATGTTCGTTCTTTACTTTTTTTTCTTCTTTTACGTTATATAACAAAAGAAAAAATGCCGAGAGAACAAACTCGTTGTATGCATCGGCACCGATGTTGTCTATCAATCATTTCTTTCTTAAAAAAAACTTAAATAAAAGAAAGCAATGAACTTTTTCTCGGTATTATTCATAATTATAGTTTATTTATTAAATAAAATTTCTAGTAAAATAATATCTCATTCTATCGATACAAATATTGTAAGTAAATAAAAATAAAAATATTTCATATTTCTTATTACTAATATTTAGAATTGGTTATATTTAACAAAATTTTATTTTCATCCAATTTATGGACATATTGATATAAATTTATATGTAAGGGTTTTGTTAAAATTTGAGTTTATTTTTGAAAAAAAGAGAGAATGATTTCAGGTATTTGATAATATTTTCAAATTTTTTATATTAAACCAACAAGACTGGATAGAAATAGAGAATAATTTATCAAAAGTTTGTTTAAAAAAAGAATTAATATTAAAACAATCCGAAAATGAAACAAATTTATGGATATTATCATCATCTTTTACATCTACTGATCGAATGTATTTTATACTAAGTACTTGTAATTCAACTATTAATACAACTGTAAATATATAAATTTAATTTTCTTTCTCACTTTATCTTTAACTATTAATATCAAATAGAATTTCTTTCTTACATATAAATTAATTTTAACAAATGGAAATGATTTATTTACAAAACATTTTTCTAATGATGAACAAGGTAATAAAAACACTTTAGTTTTTACAAAATAATCTTTTTTTCCACAGGGTTATTAGAATTATTTATTGCTAGTACAATAATGTATACTATAATATTATTAATCATTCTTAGATATATCTGTAAGTTTCTATTTTAATCTGAGTTAATAATGTAGAAGAAATTTCGAATATTTTTGTTTTTTATTTAGATTTATCAAAATATAAATCTTTTTTTCTAATGAAATTATATTGTAGTTCAATATTATGTTCATGGATATATTGTTTAATAAGTTTTATTGATACTCTTATGTTTGCTTTAACAGGATATATGGATGTATTTACATTTCGATTATTAATATTTCTTGCTCATTTTGTTGTTTTAATTGCAGAAATATTATTTCTATTTATTTTAATACTTTGTTCAAAAGGTTATTTAATTATAAAAATTCAATTGAGAAACAGAGTTATTACTGAAATAATATTAATTATTCTATTATATCTAAGTGTGCAGATAAGTATTCTTATTCTGATGATCATAGTAAGTGAATAAAAATTGACTTAATATTCAATGTATTTTGTTTTTTTGTATTAAGTTTGTTGATCAAATATTTATTAATGAAAAAATATTTCCTATATGTGATTATATTCAAATAATTCTGTATTTATTAGTTTATATCTGGTATATTATATCTCTTTTATTTACAATTAAAAATTCTAATAAGAAATTTTATTTTTTCTGTATCTTTTCTTTTTGGTAAAAAATTTATTTATTTTTCTTCTTATCTTTTTCTTATAATTTAAATAGGTTTTTAATTAATGCAATTACGATTTTATTAAATATTCTCAATATTTTACCAAATCCTCAAGTAACAATTTCTAAAGCAATTCAAATAAGTAACCAATGTTTAACGTATTGTATTTTTCTAGTACAGTTTATAATAAATCTATTCAATCGAATAAAATCAAATTTTTTATTTTAGTTTATTCTTCGAAAAAAACATTTTTTCTTACAAACTAAATTAAATCAAGTAGGAAGTTATTTTCTTTTATTTTTATTTATGATTTTATAATAAAAGATTAATATAACATATATTCATTCCATAACATCAAAATCTCATTCGAATCAAATATCAACAAGAGAAATAGTCAATGATATTAATTCATATGAATTCACTGATTTATGTTATGATGAAGTTGTATCTTTAATTTATACATAGAAAAATACTAAATTTAATTTAACTTTTATAGAAAACATGGGTATCAAGATTTCGAATACCATTTCAATCTTCTGAACCACTTCCTCGACTTGAACCACGTCGAGATGTAAAATTAAAATCTCTAGCTAAATCATCTCAATCTTCAATGTGTATTGTTCCACGTCGTTTAGCAACACTTAATTCAAATGATCAATTTTAAATATTGTCTATTTATTTAAACTTTTTTCATTTTTTTTCTGTAATAAAAAACTATAAAATGAAATTAATGTTAGTTTAGTAATAAGTGATGTGTCGCAAAATTATTTGCGAGCTTTTCTTGATGATTTCTCTTTGCTATCCGGTTTTGGTGGTTTGTCTGCTTTTGGTGGTTTATCCGCTTTCCTATTGAAAAGAAGACAAAAAAAAATATATTATAATCTATTGATATAGAATCAATATTCATACTTTGAAGTAGCTGATGCAGGAATAAAATCAGTATAGAGTTTATCTGGAATGGCTTTAACAGTTTTTTCGAATGTTTCACTATAATAAATAAAAATATTGAATTAATATACATATATATTAAATAAGAAATAGAAATTTTTACGGTGGTAAAAGCATTGGTGGTGGTAGCTGTTGAACAACAAGAGCTGGACGTTTTTTAGATTGATTTGTTGGTTGTTGAGGTTTATCCCGCGATGTTCTTTTTGATCTTGATAGGCTTCTTGCAGCGTTAGATTTTCGTTCATCATATGCCTTTCCATCAACACTTTTATTTAAAGCATCCATATCTTCATAATCAATAACTTCATTATATGGATTACCTGAAATATAAAAATATATTATTTAAATAAATAAATAAAATTAAAAATGTTGCTTACTTGGATCAGCACTAGCATGAACAGTAAATCGTTTTGGTTGTGCTTTAGGAAATGGAATATCATCTTTAGGTTGTTTAACAACTTTAATTGCTTCATCCAATGTTAAATAAGTAGTTTCGGCTGGTCGATCATCTTCAGTTTTCATTTTTATACTTATTTCAAAAACTGTTTCAATACAATCAAGCTATGATTTATAGAATAAAAGCAAAAAGTTCAAATCGAAATTAAATAAATTTTCTATACCTCTTCATCCGTAGCTATCTGAATTTTACTCTTGAAAATTTCTGCTGCATCATCAAATACAGCATTCATTTTACTTCTTATATCTTCATATCGTTGATATTCTTTTTCATCAAATTTTTCATCTTTTTTATCAGCTGGTTTAGTAGGTTTGTCTTCATCACGTGGTAAACCATATGTTAAACATCTACAATAATCAATAGAAATATATATTTTTCAAATTTTTTGGCTTCAATTTATACTTAGCACAATGTAATGTAAACTGTGTTAATGGTGAAAGATCAATTAATTGTGATTGACCTTGACCAAAACTGAATGCTAGAACAGATTTTGCAACACAAAATTTTTCTAATCTAACTTGAGATTTAAATTCAGATAAATCAACTGGTAAATGTGTTGCTATTTCTACATCAAGTGGAAATTCATAACGCATCATAATTTCTGGAAATGTAAATGTTCCACTATGACTTTTATATTCTGAATGTAATTCATTATCTTCAATTAATGTTGCAAAACGTAAAGGTACACCAGGTGGTAAAATAAATTCATGACCACTTAATGGATCTTGAAGTATAAATGCGTCTTTTGGTTCACTAGCAAGTAAATCACCTTTATCATTTTTCATACGTGATTGATATTGTTCACGACGTATAACATTAAGACGAGCATTTTTTCGTAATACAATTTTATCCCATTCATGTGTTGATGATGCTTCTTTCTTTCGTATATGTGCCGGTGTATCGGAAAGAACTTTTATTGCACGTGGTAAATCAAATCGATATAATTCAAATGTACCTTGAAATATCCACCAACGTTTTTTAAGTGTAGGATTTTTTGATAGAATACGACATTCCCCTTGAAACCAATCTGGTATAAGATATTTTTGCTTTGAACTTTTACTTTTATTTGATGATGATAATGGTGAAGCAATAATTAAATAACGATCAAATAATGCTTGTAAATACAACCATTGATTTTT